AGATTCTTTCCTGCACTTTCCAGTCTATAAAAGTTCAGCTGAGGCTCTTCATCCTCTGTAATTCTTGTGAAACAGAAAAAAACCCAACCCACATGCTTTTGAAAAACAGTAAAATGTGATGTATTCGGTTTTTTTATGGGTTCTGAATACAGATATATATGTATTTTGCTTTTGCTTTTCTACTTTGGAGGAGCCTATAAGGGTAGAGAAGCAGCAAAAAGGGAAGGAATATATAAGGAATATCTTATTATATATATCATATATAAAATATATGTTTTATTTGGTGACAGCTGGAGATGTGATCTCCCTGTGAGATCTGTGAGAACAGAAGCACAGTCTAGAAATGACTGGCAAATCTGAGTATCACCTGCTGTGGTTGTTCTCAGAGCTCAACACCAAGCAGTGACTCCTGTCCTGCAAAAGCAACAGACAGAGTTATTATGTAAGAGCAGGCAGAGTTATTATTAAGTGTGCTCACATACATGCAATGCCATGTTATTTAACAAATTCATTTTGAAGCCCCATTGTCTAAGGCCTCTGAGAAGATTACCAGGTGCCTCAGTATGAAATACGTGTGTGGTGATACTTTCTTATTGCTTCTTGGGAGCTTCTCTGCCGAAAATCCTGTCCCAAATCTAGTGTTGGCTTTGGACTTTTTCCAGTTTACTTGTCTGGGCTTTGCTATATCCTCAGCCATTTCCTTCCTCAGGAAGGAGTGGTAGGGGCCTGGGGACATCACTTTGGGAGGCTGCACAGCCTCACCAGGCAGGAAGAGTTCTTTTGTACTGGTAATCCTGCCACAGCCTGGGTCTCACTGCACCCTCACAGCATGCTTTTCCTCATGGCAAATGTATTAATGGCTTCTAGAGTCCTGCATTCTTCCTCTGGGATTAGGGGCTTTAGCTGCTCCCAGCCCTCAGCCTGGTAATCCATAATCAGATTTCACCCTTTTAGCATTTCTCAGAGCAAATGCTACCTAGGATGACCTAAATCTGATGTTCTGTTCCCTTAGGGACCATCAATTCTCTATGTTCTGTCACCTTTGAAGATGCTCATAGTCTCCTGTTGCACAATCATAGCTCATCAATGCCACATTTAATATCATCTCAGTCATTATTTTAGTAGCCTCCTTAACCTCTGCTTTTTCAACAAGAGTAATTTGGAGGAATGATCAGTTGTGGTTGTCTCCTGGTACAGGGGTTTGACTTAAACTGCCTAATTTTCCCATTCGTTCTGATGCCTCCTACTTCTGCTGTTCAATCCCTCTGTTCCATGCTCTCAAACACCACTCGGAGCTGTGATGACTTGCAGCCTGCCTGGCTTGTGCTGGAGCTGAGAGTGGGTCTGCAGATGACACCAAGCTGAGTGGTGCACTTGGCACGTCTGAGGGATGGGATGTCATGGGGAGGAACATGGACAAGCTCCAGAAGTGGGCCCTTGGCAACCTCATGAATCTCAACAAGTGCAGGGTCCTAGTGACAGGACAAGTGATAATGGTTTAAAACTGGAAGAGAGTAGGTTAGATTACATATTAGGAAGACATTTTTTACTGTGAGGTTGGTGATACACTGGTACAGATTGCCAAGAGACGCTGTAGATGCCCCATCCCTGGAAATGTTCAAGGCCAGGTTGAATGGGCTTTCAGCAGCCTGGTCTAATGGAGGGTGTCCCTGCAGAGGGTTGGAACTGGGTGATCTTTAACATCCCTTTGAACCCAAACCATTCTATGATTCTATGGTTCTTTGTGGTGGTAAATAAAAATTAGTGTCTATCGTATCTGGGATATGCAGAAGCCTATTCCTAGGAAGTGTTGGGCTCAATAGGTCTGGAAAATTTAATATATTAAGCAAAGTTCTCATCCACATTTACAGAGATAATCTTATTCTCCTCAGTCTTGAGAAATTCAAACAAAAACATAGAAATTCTCAAACTTTGTCTCAAACTTTATGCAATGTGAGCTAGTATGGTGATGGCTTCATCTCTTGGATATTGCCCTGTTTCTGGGGGCACGGGAGGTAACTCGTGCACTGGTTTTGTTACCTTAATCTGTAAGGATGCAAATGCAAAGGTGCCTTTAAGTAACTAACTCCCGAGAAGGACGCCTGCAGAGGCTGGTGAGCCATTAGATGGCAGCACAGATAAGGACAAATCCATCCTGCCTGGTGCTGCTCCAGGAAAGCCCCTCCACTGCTTTCAGCATCCCCAAGGTATTTTGTGGGTGAAGAATTTTCACATTACTTAAAGCAAAATAAATTAAAACCTGTAAACCAGGAGTTTCATATTATATTAAAGCATATAAAATAAAAATTACCCTTCCCCCAAACAGTGATGGTATGTATTAAGCCTGAAGTTCTTTCAGAATTTCTGAATTATTTTATTCCTTATCCTTCTCAAGCATACATAAATTCAGCTATATTGACTAAAACAGCTTCTTTCTTGATGCCATGTGGAGTAGCTTATCACCTAAAAGCTATTCTAGAAAACTGTCACCAACCATCTCAGCTCATGGCCTCAGGAGCATAATATTTTACATTACTTTCAGTTGCCATTTGAGAAACTCAACGAATACAGCAGGCACTTAGCAGGCCCTCAGAATATTCCAGTGACACTTCAACTAAGTTAGTTTTTAAATGGAAAAAAAAATCGAATCAAATAGAGAGGAGACGTAATTTTCTTTCTCAGACTGAATATCTAGCTAATTACTAATTTTGAATTGTGTTGTCTTAAAGTTATATAAAGGAGAGTCAAGGTGCTAATTGCATACTTGTAAGCCTGACATTGGTGCTGACATCACAGAGTCTTGCCTGATATCTTGTGAGAAAGCCATGCTTGAGAGTTTTCAAAGTGAGGAAGTTCCTGGTTTCTGCTATGGCAGAGCAAAATTCCTGCCTTCCTGTGCTGGGATCTGCCAAAGGAATCCTGAGGCTGTGTAACTAGTAATGTAGCTAATGATCTAGAACATCTTCTGGTGTTAAACTATGGAAATACTTTTAAAAATATATGGTGATCATATCAAAGAGACTTCATTCTAGCATATAGGATTTTGACAATATTTCATTTTTCCCCTAAGAAATTATTAAGAATAATATATAATTTTTCTTATTAATAATCCTAAAAGCTATATTAGGCTAATGTAAAACTACTTTGCACTTAAAAAAATCAGGAGTAATAATCCATGTAGTTATACCAATTTAAAACTGGTTTGTGGAGGTTAGGTCAGCCCCAGCTCCTAGCTTTTTGGAGCATCTTCACTCCCAGGCTGTTTTCCCAGGTGACTGAGCTGATGTTCAAACTTGGAGGCTGGTCTCACACTGGTGATCTCAAGAAGTCCTTTGCAGCAACTTTTAGATCTGTTTCAAAAGGAGAAGAGCTTTTTATTGTCTTGTAGGCAATTAGGGGCTACATCTCCTCTTGGGACTTGATGAGCACAATGTGTCTGCTTATACTTTTTTACCTGGAGATTTGTCTCTTGCAGAGGCAATACTTCTCTCTTCTTCACTTTGTGAAGTGGAAAAGCTGTGTAACTGCACCCCACCCCCCTCCCCTCCACCCCGTGGGGCTATGAGACTATCTGGAAGAAAGGAAAGATATATCACTTTATCTTTTAAAATGCAAAGGACATCTCAGAAGGCAGCACAAAGTAACACGAAGCAAAAACTTAAGAGAGACAGATGGGTAATAGAAAGCATCATGTCAGCATCTGATCACTGCAAGCATTCACTTTGTATTTTCAGCACCATGACACAAACATGATTTGATCTAAAGGGAAGAGAACAGATTTTTAAACTACATATTCTACCTTCTGCAGAATTCCAGGCCTTCTCTGAAAGTCTCTTTTCCAATTATTAGTGTAGGTCAGTGAGGATCATTGGTGGAATGGCTGCAAGCATGACTAATGTGTGCAGGTACTGCCAGCAGCAGGCAAAGCCAATCCCTTCTGTACAGAGCTCCTTGGGAAGGAGAAATGTGTAAATCTCTTGACTTTAGCACATGGGGGAAAAAAGTGTTGCTTTCTAGTACTACCTCAGAACCTATTCAGCATATGGCTGTCTTTTCAGCGTGTAAGCTAGTTAGGACAAATCTGGGGTGGGGTTTTTTTATTTATTTTAAGCTGTCTAGATCTTACTCCATTTCAAATCCTCAGAGAATTGGATGAAACCACTAAAACTTTTAAATGTTTAAAGGATATCAGAGTAGGAGTGGAAACAGACAGAAAGCTGCTGGGCCCAGCATTACATTTTCCTCCCTGGAACAGGGAAAGATGGATGGTATGAGGGAAGCTGATCCATTACTCCGATAGAAAAGTGTCAGAGCCTGGGAGTTTGGGCATAATTAGACCCCAGTCACAATAATTTCTAGATCATCTCCAAACGCAGATACTGCTGCATCAGCAGCATGGAGGGAAATCCAACATCTCTTTGACAAGGAAGTACTTACCTCCTGTTGGTGCAAACTCTGGAATGATGTGACAGCCCCTGATGGCTCCAGTGTACCTTCACATAATGAAATTTGGGAGTGATCAGCTTCTGAGCTTTACTGTGTCATCCAAATCACTTGTCTGGGATTTCCAATCTATTTATAAATAACTGAAATGCATGGCCTATAAAAATGAACAGCGTCCTACAAACCTGGCAGTTCTCTATTTAACCATAATTAATTTATAAATAATTTACACTCTTCTTTCTCTTAGTATAAACCAAGTTTTATACCAAGCAGAGTAATTAGGAACTTTATATATAACTTGCCAATATATGGATAAGTGGCCAGGTACCAGAGGATGGAGATGACTTACCAACAAGGTTCTGCTAGGAATTTGACCCACACCTACAAATCCCTGCACTCATTAAGGGATCCAATTCTGCTTGGACTTAACATACCTGAGGGATCTCTGTAGGTACAGATGTTGAGGAGGTGTCCAGGCTTTTGTTTAGGAGGGCAGTATTCCCAACAACAGCTGCCCTTACCACAGATGAACTGGAGAAAAACACTATCACACTTTATTTTAGTATGCTACAAAAGTCATTGTTGAACTTTATTAGGTACTTTAATACCAAGCATACTTTGAAGTAACAAAAATTATTGTTATTATTACTTTTACAGAAAATCAGGTATTTCAACAGTTTTCTTTACAGTTTGTTGACTTAAAAAGAAATTACAATTGACAAGTTACAATGGAGTGGAATGAGAAAGTGGTAACATTTAAAAAGATAAAACATACTATTCTTACTGAGTCAACATTTAATGGTGTACATCCTGGTACATCTCTCCTTCTGACTGTGTACAAATGATACATATTCACTGAGCTGCCCTGACAGGGTTGCGATGTCTTGTGATGGCACTTATTTTGCAATGTTTGTGTATATTTAGAAAGGGTTTTTACATTACACCATCACCATGATGCTAAACAAAATAATATAATACAGAGAAACCCTGTTTTGGTGATTTCTGTCACAGCAAAATGCCATGACTGCAATAATGTGGGATAGAGGTAAACTCAAGGAGCAAATGAAGATGGTGATATGAGAGCACATCCAGATAACAAAGCCTTTCGCAGGCTTTGAGGTGCGAGTGTGCTTGTGAGCCAACAAGAGCAGAGAATGAGGATGGGCTTCGCTGAGACACCACTTAACAGGGACTCCTGAATGTATCCAGCCCCTGAGGATGTGCATTTTCCAGCTGACACTGGTTGGACTAATCAAAGATTTAAAAACCTGCCTGAAATGGGCCCTTAAATGAGTTTATGCTTCCTCATGTGTGAGCTGCTTGATTTTTACCTTCCATCCCCCTCAGGTCAATGGGTAGATGTACCTTCAGGTACTGGGAAGATGTTTATGGTGGTTGACTGATTTGGGTGGGGTTTTTGACCAGCTAGTGCTGGTCCTTTAGAAGACAGGAGAATTTTCCACATCCAGTTACAAGAGTAGTTTCAGATTTTAAAAACTGTTGTTTAATTTTTTAAATGCTGCCCAGATTCACACATAAATTTACTTGGCTGGCATCTAGGTGAAGTCAGCGCCACATTGGTACCTTGGTAGATAGATAGAAAAGTTATCTAATTCTCTGTATTTGTTTACTGGCAATTTGCTTAAAGATAATTTTTCTTTCAAAATTAATTTTTTTGAGATTCATGCACTAAATTCTGGAATAATTTGTGTTGTGCAATCAATAGTTAAAAAGCAATTTTAACTCATATTTACCTCATGTCTTCAGAATTTTGCATTATTTTGGATCAACACTAGCAATTATTACTTTAGCCATTTCCCCTGAAAGCCAAAGAATGAAGCAACAGGCTTTAAAAACCCTGAAGGAATCAGCACTGCAGTGTTCATTTTGTGCTGGGTTCATCTGTGATATACAGGAGAACCTAGAGGCATGTAGGGTGCTCATGGCCAGTCCTAAGCCAGGACAGATGTGTGCCTTGGTGGGAGTGTTAGAGAGGAGCAGAGAGGGGCTCCTTGCCTCCCTCTGTTGCTCTGTTCCTGGTGCTTGGTATCCAGGCCTTTCACTACGAGGTCTTTCTGTGCCTACTCCTGTTTTACTTCTCAGTGGCTTCTGGAACTGAGAGTGCCCTTTGGGACCTGGGGAGGGAATCACTTCCCTGCCAGTGCCCCAGGGCTGTTTGCATCCAGCCCTCACATGGCTGTCTGAAACATGTATTTGCTTAATAGTTTCTTAATTTTTGTATTGAGTTTAAACTCAAGGGTTTACTGAGTTGCATTGAGTTTAAACTTAAGGCCAGAAGGTCTCATTAGATCACCTTGTCTGATTGGCATTAGCATGGGCCAGAGAGTGTCACTCCACAGTTGTATGGCAGAACAAGGAAAAGAAACACCCTGAAAGCAAGCAGCAGTGTGTTACATTTAAGGGGTAAATTACTTTCTCCTATTAAAAAAGAAATCAAGAGCTTTTATTTTGTCACTTCAAATGCAAACAATTCTATGCATCTTGGGAAATTTTATAGCATTGTGATATTCAGTCAGACATACCTTATATATATGCTTCATAGAACTAGAATATAGGTCAGAAATAATTTTTGAGCCTTAAGTTTGTTACAGACATATTAATTGGAACACATATGCATTAAAAATTGAGAAGCTTTACAGTTTTAGTCAACTTATTATACAGTGAAGTAAATGAAGTGCAGCAATGTAGCAGTAAAAGTTATGCTTTTTCCACTAGGTGATGGAAACATTCAGAGTCTATAAATGCTAATTTAAGAGAGATGTCCTAACAGCTTCTTGGCTACTGGGATAGGAATAGTCTGAAGTTAACTGTCTCTACTGTGAAAGGTTTTAAAGCTTTTTGCTTTCCGTCTGAATAAAAAAAATGACATTTACAAACCTCTTCAATGCATATATATTACATATGTTTATCTAGCAACAACTACACCCCTTTTAATTTATTCCCCAAATGTGACTTTTCATGCATGTCTTCTGGATGCTGTATTCAGCAACAGTTTCTAATGAGCTGGTGTGTAATCCATGATTGCATTTCTCTTCTGAAATCACTTCCATGTCTGGCTGATCTATGTTTAGAAGGTGGTGCTTATCCATCAGGCATTTTTGCACTTGTCAGCATTCTTCTCTGTTGGAGGCCCTTTCCCAAGCTTCTTCCCATTTTAATGTTGATGTACAAAAGCTGTTATTCATTTGTTTTGTGCTCATTCTAGTGAGGATTGGCTTAGTAGGACTGTACAAAACAGAGAAAAGAGAGAAGCTGGTTTACTGCCAGCAAGCATAAAGATGTTCACGCTGTGCTTAGCTCAGAGCAAGACTCTGACCAATATTCTAATGCACTTCATTATATGCATTTCCATTTGTCATGAAAAGTGAAAAATTTAATCTACAGATTGGATTTGTACTCTGAAATTCTCAAAAATAATTTTTCATCAGCTAATCGACACAGGAAGTCAAGATAATGAGCTTATTTCATCTAAAGTTTGAGCAATATGAAAATAAAGGTACAATGCATATGGGGCAAGAATGACATTTACTAGATGAATACCATGAATTGAGTTAAAATCCTGACATTTCTATTCCGTAGCAATAACTTGTTTCCCTCGAGGACACATTTGCAAACATGAGAAAATAATATTTTGTGTTAAATTTCAAATGAGAACAGAGGTGTGGGGACATTTTCAAATGAAAGTCTCCCTTAAAATCTAATTCCCACTGCCCAGTTCCCATGTACAAAAGCAGAGCTGCATAGGGGCGAGGGGGCAGGGGCTGTGCTGGCACTGGGAGCAGGGTGACAAAGGCTCCTGCTCCTGGCTGCAGGTGACAGCCCCTGAGCTGGTGCTTCAGGAGGCACCACTGGGACCTGGGCTCAATGAGGAAATCTATTTGCAAGCACTCGCGCACAGGCAAAGCAGGGTCACTGCTCAGGGGGTCTTACAAAGCCACAGCCTGGGAGAGAGGACAGCCACCGTCATCACAACCCCACTTCCTATATTGTAACACAGGGGCCTCTGCAAGAGACTGCTGGAATGCAGAACTAGGGGGAAATCACTGTTTCTGTGGCAACAAAAGAAAAATAACGAATTTCATTGTGAAATGAAAGCAAACAAAGAATTTCAGGACTAGAATCACTTAAAAATATTACTGTAAGGAAACCAAAATATTTAATTTCCTCCCCCCATATTATGAGGAGCAGCCACCTTCTCCCATTCCTTCAAATTCCCTTCATCCTTGACTCTTGTGTTAATCTTGGCCTGCAGCTAATTCACCCACACACCCAGAGAGCATGGTGTCCCAGGGCAGGATACCCAGACCCTAAAGCCTGGGGTGGTGGTACCACAAATCAGTGAGCCTGGTGGTGGCAAGCCCTTCTGCCATGGACCTTGGATGCCTGCTTCCCCATCAAATAAACTTTGCTTTCCAACAAACTGACGTTTTCCAAGCAAAGTTTGTTTTGGAGGAAAGTTTCTGACTTGTTCAGCATGTATCTGTAGTCCAGATTTACTTTACAAGACACTTTTAACTGATGTTGCTGAGACTAGAAAGTAAAAAACAAGTATGCAGGAAGTGTAAGGTGAACTAGAGAGGGCACTGAAAAAGAAAAACGGGTCAGCTTAGTTTATGTTAAAAAAAATAATATAAAATATGATGTTCACTGTGGTAAAAACATTCTTGTGATGTGAGTATGTAATGAGATGGTAGTTTCCAACGGCAAAACAAAGCTTGCCACTGATAGCTCCATGAGCTTCCTTTAAAACATGTAGCAAAAGTGAGGGATAAAGTGTGGATGAGAAATGGACAATGACTTGTGATAAATAAAATCTATTAAAAATTATCTGAGTCTGGAACTTTGGTGTGTTTTGTAAATGTGGTTACTAATGTTATTAATGTGGTAATTAGTAAAATAGGTAAACAGCACTGCCAAATAAAGTGAATGAAAAAGTGCCTCTAATCTGTTTATTTGCTAAGTAAGATAAGTCATTCACATGCAACATGTTTGTCTGTTTTGTATCACACCATAGGTTTTTGACTCCTTGAAGTTTGTTTTCTTAGAGCTACTTAGAGTGCTGTTGCCTAGAAATCAGTTAATGAAAGCAGTCTTCATGGAAGCTGTATCACCCAACCACCCAGGTGCTCTGCTGTTAAGTTCCCTATTTAAAGTCTTTAAGGGCTGTCTGTTAGGCTGACCTCACCACAACAGGGTTACTACTCATAATTGAAACACTCAATTCGGGCAATCCCTTCTGCCGACTGCAGAGCTGGGGGTATGGTCAGCCTGGAGGGATTTACAGCATTTTAGTGTTTATGTACATTTCAGAAAGAGGACACTGAGGTTTGTTTGTGGTAAAGATGAATCACAGGGATATTTCCAGGTTGCTCCCTGAAAAGGTATATAAGACATGCTGAATTTCAGATGGTCCTCCCCATGCTGTTACTGTAAAGTCAGTAAAATGAATAGTAAATATAGAGAGAAAGACAGATCTTCTAGGTTTGGGTATATTTTATCTCAGACAACATTAACACTTTACACCACTTTGTGTGCCAACGTCCATATTGAAATGATCTTTGCCATGTATTTGACGGGCATCTAGAAAATAACACCTTAACAAGTGTTAGTCTTTTATTGCTGACTCCAAACACACACAGCTACTTGTCTAAAGAGCAACTGGCATTTGTGGTCACACCAAAATTGGTACAGTTATAAAACCACATCAGCTGGCAGAAAGCCATGGGTTAATGAAGTACCAGAGATTTCCTGCCAGGACCTCCACAGGATTCCTCCTGCCTAAACATCATCCCTGCAGAATGCTGGCACTGTGGTTAGTGTAGGGAAGGAGATGAAGGAAGAGAGAAACACTGATGCTGGAGCTCTGAAATTGAAAATAGGCATGCTGAGGCACCTTGGATAACACTGCTGTCTGGGCTGTAGGCCAAAAAATATTGGACAAGTTCCGTTTTAATGAGGTGTTGGAATTCTCACCTTTCTGCTTATAGAACCACTGAATCATTAAGGTTGGAAAAGACCCCTAAGATCATCAGTTCCAACTGTTAACACAGCACTTCCACATTCACTCCTAAACCATAGCTCTAAGAGCCACACCCACACACCTTTTGGACACCTCCAGGGACGGTGAATCCAAGACTTCCCTGGGCAGCGTGTTCCAGTGTCAGACAATTCCTGTGGTGAAGGAATTTTTCCCAATATTCAATCTAAACCTCCACTGGTGCAACTCAAGGCCATTTCCTCTCATCCTGTCACTTGTTACTTGGGAGAAACCACTGACCCCCACCTGGCTACAACCTCCTTTCTGGGAGTTATAGAGCATGATAAGGTCTCCCCTGAGTCCCCTTTTCCCCAGGCTAAACATCCTCAGTTCCCTCAGCTGCTCCTCAGATGACTTGTGTTTTGGGCCCTTCACCAGCTGTGTTGCCCTTTTTGGACACACTGATCTGGGTCAGCTCTTTATAACCACAGATGGGTGGTTTTGTTGCTTACATCAGGGTTGGTGAAATGCTAAGTGTGTTAAAACCCCACTTGTAGCCACTGCAGCCCAAAATTCAAACAGCAACATGTATTCCTGGCCTGGAAAATATCTAGGTGTGTATAACTGAAAGGCATGAAAGGTAGATAGATGCTCAGCTGCAGAGAGCAGCCAATGATCATCTCTTATTTCCTTGAAGATAATCTCTTGAGAGTACATAGATTCTCTAGAACACATAGCAAATTTGAGTGGCCTGAGAGGATTATTTTGTTTTCCATGTGATGAGAGAGAGGATTTAATGTGTATTCCCAATTCCCTACCTGCTGTGGGTGCCTTTTCCCTCTTGATGCACTGAGCATGCTTTGCCCTGGCCCCATGGGAAGATGCATATCCATCACCTGGAGAGTGATCCTGGGGCAAATTGTGCTCTCAGTAAACAGCCAGGCACCAACTCAGGTCCTCTCCAAGAATCCTGATGATCCAAGCTCTAGCACATGTTTTGGAGAAGCTGTCCACAGATCATACTGGAAACAGCTGTATGGCCAGGAGGAGAATAAATTGTGCACTGCTGCCTACAGCTGCATTGCAGCTGAGACACAATAAGGAGGGTATAAGGCTGCCCTGCCTTATGGTGATGGAAAGAAGAACGGACAGAAGTTCCCCAAGTGTTTTTGCTAGCAGCTCTCTTTCAGTGTTTCATTGTTCAGCACTTTCTCAACAAAATATGATAAATGACCTGTCCACACCAGAGCTGCCCAAGGCGTTTCCTCCTCCCCCTGGCAAACCAGCAGGCAGGATCTGGCAACTGCCTGCTCTGCCATCACTCACAGCTACCAAACACTACCTGAAAGGACAGGGGTTAAAGAGCATGCACAGTAAACCTTGAGGAGTTACTAAAACTTTTACAAAATTTTGGGATTGGAAATTGTGTGACGGTTTTGTCCATATGGCATTAGAGGAGAAGCTCATCTGAGCAGAAGGTGTGTGAGCTTGCTCTTCTGCTGCAGCACTTCCTTGCAATAAAATAGAATTGAATCTCATAAAAAATAACAAGATTTTCCCCAGTTCAGTATGCAAGCCCTGTGAAACCAGAGTTGAGTGGAACAGTGGGACTTATTCAATCTGCTGGGTGGTATCTTGCTCACACTGTTAGTGGCAGCAGCTGAACTCCTGGGCATGGCTTGTGGGAGGTGTTTCTAGGACTGTAGGAAATGGTTTCAGGAGCTTTCAGGAATTTTCTAAATGTGTGGCTCAGGTGGTTTTGCTGTCAGAAGGCTCAGCTCATGGCTGCACAAGCACATTTGTAGCATGTGAGAGGATGCTGTGGTGGTGTGCTCCCCTCTGCCGCTTCAGCCCTAACTACCAGTGGGGCTCTGCTGGCTGCACCCAGCTTTCTCTGGAGTTTTGGGAGGGGGGGGGGTGGGTGGAAGCATGATAGCCAAGGGCTATCTGGAATGATGGGCTGCATGCCAGGATCTCTCCTTGAGGAGGGTCCCCTCTCAAGGTTACTCCTCAAAGCTGAGAGATTCCTCACTGCGACAGAACCTTGGTAACTGGTTAACAGCACACTAAACTTGGAAATTTTAGCTAAGTGATATAAAGGATTGAGTGTGCAAATATAATCTCTCAGATATAAACCACTGAACAGTCTACGACTGGATTCACCTACACCTACAGTTCTCTTTGAGAAGGGGTTTAGAATGCAAGGGGATTCTTTCTGAACCTCATGGCTCAATGACAGGATCTCTGG